TTATTTAGTAATTCATACTTGTAGCTATTTGGGAATTATTACTTTGATAAGAAATAATTTTGTTTAAATATTATATAAATATTAAAACGAATAGTTATATATTATAAAAAATGTATACTCGAAAATGTTAATAGTTAAAAAACTATGCTAGTGCATCATACAAAACTTCATGATGTTTTATCAACCATTCACGGCGTTAATTTTTGTCCAAATATCTTTCAGCGCGAATTGTTTGCGCGTCTATTAAAACTAAATGTCGTGTAGGCTGGAATATTTTTACGTTTGGTTCAGTCTAAACTAAAATATGCAGTTAAGTAACCAAGGATCATGGCTTAATTGGTCTGAAGTTGAATGTTTTTATGTGTTAATATGTTGAAATAGGAGTTGTATTTTTTGTTCATAAAAGAATATATGTATTTTTACACAATCTTCGTATTATTTTAATCATAATAAATAAGTCTAAAAAAAGATGCTCGATAAACCACTATGTTAACTCTTCTATACACACAGTTTTACATTTGAAATTGATACTTACATTAATATCTTTCTTTTTAGCTAGAGATTTTGAAAGTTAATAAATATATCTTAAGATATCTTATTTTTTCTTGTAAAAATTGACATTTTTGATTTTCAAAAAGTCTTAAAACCTTAAATAATGAATTAACTTTAAAATCTCTAACTAAATATGGACCTAACACACTAAGGATCATTTGTGGAATTTTTTTATAAATGAAGTAAAAGATAAGTATGAGTTTATCTCTGATGTTTCAATGTGACTTTTTAACTAATTTTTCAGTAAACTGGCAGCCATTTTAAAAAAATATTTTTTTATTATTTGATTAAAAAACAAAAAAAATATTTTTTAAGACTTTATCTTGAATGTTAAATGTAAATGTTATACAATTTTTATTTATTTGTCGCTTAACATAAAAAAAAAAAGTTTTTAATTTTATATTTGAAAAAATATATTTTATAAAAATAATATTTATTATTAGGTACAAATATATATATATATATATATATATATATATATATATATATATATATATATATATATATATATATATATATATATATATATATATATATATATAAAACAGTATAAAAAAAATGTTTACAAATATTTAACTTGCAACGTGTGACAGGCTACACATCAGTGTTGTCCATGTTTAATCGAGAAATGCATTCAGAACATTTTATGAAGTAAGTTTATGTTTATTTTACATTATTGTGTTATTAGAATATTTAAACACACTGAATATTACTTTTTATTTTATTTGGCTGAGGTAAGTAGGCTTTGAGATGAAAAAAAAATGCTTGAAAGTTTTCGAAGTTCCAAGTTTTATCTTTTTATCGTTTATATTAGTTATTATATTTACTTTTATATTTTTGTTTTGTTTTCTGTTTTCCTCCATATTTGTGAATTTCAAAGTTATGTTTATTAAATTTTAAATTTGTCAGGATTTCATTCTGCATTTTTTTTTTGTATACTTGTATTGTAACTTAATTAAATATTTTTATGAAGGATAAATATTTTACTTGGTTACATATTATTAGCTTATTATTAAGTTGATAAACAAGTTTATTATTGATTACAACAGTGTTATTATTGAAAGACCTCTAGTAATGCAAAGACAGGTACTACTGAGAATAAAATGTGTAAACAGCTACAAAAAAGTAATTTAGAAATTATAATTAGTACTACTGTGATCAAAAAGTAAGGTGAATTTTTTTATAAAATGAAAAATCTTTATTTATTTTTCCAAATCTGTTTCGTCCCCCTCAAAATAATCCCCCCCGGCCCCAATGCACTTTTGCCAACGTTTTTTCCAGTCTTCGAAGCATGCCAAAAAGTCCTCGGTAGGGATAGCCTTCAATGTGCGTGCCGATTCACGTTGGATCTCTTCAATGGACTCAAAACGATTTCCCCGGAGTGGTCTCTTGAGCTTTGGGAACAGCCAGAAGTCACACGGTGCTAAGTCGGGCGAATATGGTGGTTGTGGAGCAACATGGGTAGAGTTTTTGGCGAAAAACTCACGAAGAACCAGTGCTGTGTGCGAAGGCGCATTATCGTGGTGCTAAATCCAAGAGTTATTGGCCCATAATTCCGGTCTCTTTTTGCGAATAGCTTCACGCAAACGTCGCATAACACTTAAATAATATTCCTTGTTGACAGTTTGGCCAGTTGGAAGGAATTCGTAGTGCACGACACCACAATAATCAAAGAAAACAGTCAACATGACCTTGATTTTTGAGCGACTTTGACGTGGTTGCTTCGGTCTCGGCTCGCCTTTTTCACAGTATTCACTCGATTGGTCGGTTGTTTCAGGGTTGTATGCGTAGACCCAAGTCTCATCGCCAGTAATAATTTGTTTGTAGACGTCATGATAGTCAGAAAGCATTGCTTCACACGTTTTAACGCGACGCTCTTTTTCAAAGAAATTGAGAAATTTCGGCACCAAACGTGATTTGAGTCTTCTGAGGCCCAAATGATCTTTCAAAATCGCTTGCACTGACCCAAATGATATTCCAACCATGTCAACAAGGTCTCGAATGGTTAACCGACGATTTGCAAGCACCAATTCTTTGATTTTGTTGATGTGGCAATCATCAATCGAAGTCGATGATCGTCCGGAGCGTTCCAAGTCATCAACACGTTCTCGGCCTTCTTTAAAGTCTTTGTACCACTTGTAAACATTTTTTTGAGACATAGTCTCTTCACCGAAGGCCTTTTGCAACATTTGATACGTTTCAGCAGCAGAAATATCATTCCGCAAACAAAATTTAATAGCACTTCTTTGCTCAACAAAATTAGACATCGTGAAAATCGCCAAATGCACTTTTGGTACTTCAGAAACAAGCGTAAACAAAAAAAAAATAATTATGAGTTTAACATGTAATTTGGCGCAAATGTTAATGACATTCCTACCAACTTAAAAATAAAAAAGATTGGACGATTCGAATAAGACGGGAAGTTCAAATTAAAAATTCACCTTACTTTTTGATCACAGTAGTATATTCAAACAGCTATTTGTTACATTAAATAAGTAATGAACTAAAGTGTTCACAAGTTTTCTATTTTTACAGATTTAAATGTTTTATATTATTAATTTTTTATACAAATGTTGGTGTATATCTTAAAAAACTGTGTTTCTCTCATTTATATTCATTAATATCCATTTATATGTTGCATGTTCAAAAACCAAAACAATTTGTAAGGTTGTTTTTCAAAGTTAATAAACATCTGGTAAGGTATCAGATATACTTTGTATGAGGTTATAGTAATCTGATATTAGGTATTAGCTTATTCAAAACCTTGATGTTTGTGTTAAGGTTATCTAAGTAAAGCCATGATTAAAGTAGGGATGCGGAGTATTAAAAGGACTCAGGATTTGTATGTCACAAAAAGATTACTTCAAGTATTGTGAATTTCAAAATAGGTATCAGAGATGTAATGACTTGCAAGGTTGCTCAGTTTTATGACTTTTTATTAAAAAAATTATGTTGACAAACATCAAAAAGAATGTACAAGCAACAAATTTTTTGGCTTCATTTTATTTCTGAAAATCCTTTTGCATTTTGATTATATGTCAATTTTTATATAACCTTCATAAAAAAGATAAGATATTCAAAATTTATTTCTATTAGTTTTTGAAAATATTACCTGTAAAAAATATCAATAAAATGGCATCTTTTCTTTGTTATGCTATTTCTTTTTTTTTAATAAATTAAGGTGTAGATATATATAGTAGTTCTATTGGTTAAGGTTAAGTTATTATATTGGTTTAAGAATAAATTATTCTATTAGTTTAAGATTAAGTTGGGGTTACCTATTTAATCCACAATACATCTAAAGCTTGGCTGTTCAAAAAGCTATGCAAATTACAGTGTGTGTAGATTTATAAAATAGAATTTACAAATTGGATGAAAATAGAACATGTATGATAAATTGATAGGACAGTAGTAAAATTTTATTTTTGTTTTTTAGGTATTGGGCAGGCTGTACCTGACGTCTTACTTTCTTGCAACGAAATCAAAAGAACTACAAACCAATTAAATTAATTTTTATAGCAGTATTTTCTTTGAAGAATTTTTTCTTTATTTTATTTACTAATTACTTTATTTCATAATTTCTTTAAATTATTTTTGGAGATTTTTGGATTTAAATTTTGGTGTTATACACAATTTTAAGTTTAAAAAATTATTTTTAAAATAGACACTCCAATTATAATTGTACTTCTGAATAAAAATTAATTATTAAAAGTCTAAGAATCTATATGTAAAATTATTTTACATATAAATATTTTACATATTTTATATGTAAAATTATTTTACATATAGATTCTTAGACTTTTAATAATTAATTTTTATTCAGAAGTACAATTATAATTGGAGTGTCTAGTTTTTGTAATATTTTTTCTGCAAATATCAATTTGATATTATGTTATCAATGTGAAAGTATAACCTCAAGATATAATTTTAAAAATGGTAGGATGAGGTACATAAACATACGCTTTGTTTTCTTATAACTAAAATTCAAGTTTAGCGCAAAATGTCTGTACCGATAGAAACCACTCGCAAATTCTTTCGATATTGATTGGTCTTTTAAAATTTTACTGTTATTTTTACATGGTTTCTACTTACTATGACAGTAAGTGTGAAAACACGCGCAAACTGGCAATCGGGAGATTTTTAAACAAAAGTTAACGCCGTGATTATTCAAACTTCTTTCCATTAATAAAAAACACGCTTAGTTCACATATTTATTGAAGAGCGCAATTGCACACATATTGTTGGGTTTGGATTAAATTTTCATCAGCGATGTCTTACGACGTTGTTCCGACGTCGTTTTAAGGACGTTGGATTGACGTCGAAAGACGTCAAAAGACATCGGAGTACGTTAATATTATGACGTTGCCCGACGTCTTTTTATCGACGTTGGATCGATGTCAGTACTGCGACGTTTTTTGGACGTCTATTATAAGATGTCGGAACAACGTTAAAATACATCGAAACGACGTCAGGGGATGTTGAGATAAAGACATCGCCCGACGTCATTTTACTGACATCGGAACAACGTCGGAATAGGTCTTTTGTCATCGCTGATGAAAATCGTACGTAAATCCGACGTCGGATTGACGTCGGGTGCCCACTGGGTAACACCTCTGTTAGGAGAATGATATTTCCAGCTAAATGTTTTCCCATCATTCTTAACTGGACCCATCACAAAAATGTGCGATTGCTGGTCGATCTAGGGTGCTGATACATATATAAAAAATAAATATTGTGTATCTTAATAATATACAAAACATAAAAGAAAAAATGCTAGAAAACAGGCATGTATCAAAATTGGAGGGTAGCCCCGGACACATAGTTTAACCATGATTTTACCTCTTTTTTACCAGTATGACACAAATGCAAGATATAATAACCTAGCATTGGACTGTTCTCGACACATTTTTAAAAAAATCGCCTTTAAAAATTGTCTCTAATATATAAGGAATGAGAATGAAAATGTCATCATTTAAAAATATAAACATAAGCTTTTTTATAATGAAAATAAACACATTAAAAACACTTTTTTTAAATCTAATTTTTTTTAAATGGAATTAAATGAATTACTGTTATAGGTTTGTGTATTATATTAAATGTATTAATATTTATATAAAAAAGTTGTTTATTATTAAAATGTAAACGAATTAAGTTGTCCGGAGCCACCCTCCAAACATGTGTCCGATACCACCCAATCATACCTCATTCACAAATGCTAGTTTTAAAACCAGTGAATTAAACTTTTTAACGAACTTTTTTTTAATAACTATTATAAATAAAAATACATCATTAAAAAGTTATTAATTTACATAAAAATTAGGTATATTAATATGTGAATCAAATATGATGATACACTGCTCTTCTTGTGGTGGGAAACAAAATCTTGTCCTCCCAGTCATTCGCTTCGACATTTTATGATAGATATTTTGCATATGCCATATTTTCACTCAAATAATGTTATTCTAGTACTAAAAGTTACATACCTTCTTTAGTTTAAATTGTACATTAAGTGTCCGGAGTTACCCGCCGTCTGGGGCTACCTGACTTTCCCCTAGATGTAAATTCTGAGTTTTACGGTTTTGTGCACATATGTGTATTTACATAAAAACAGCGCTATCTAGTATTTCAATGTGTTTTAATATGATGTAATAATTGGTACACAAATAATTCTCATAGGACATTATTAAAGATTAGCATCATTCCCTTTGAACATTGTTAGCGATTGATATAATTCCCTCTCAACAATATTATTAGTTGGTATAATTCCCCATGGATTGGTACACAAATAACTCCATTTAGAAATTATTTTTGAAGGTAAAAATTTCTAAATTGAATTATTTGTGCACAAAGGACTTCTAATTTGTGCACGAAGAAATTCTCGTGTAAACGGTTATAAAAGCCGTAACGGTAAACTTAGATAAAACAGCTTCCATCTAATGGTGATATTCTAAGATACTATCAATTTATCCGTCGCGAGTCACAGGTTAAATACAAACCCACTTCTACTAATGTTGGTTGTAAATTGAAATAGAAATCCAAGGATCTTATTTGTGAAAATGGTGTTTGTACAGATCCTGATAATTATTGCTTGGTAACTAGGATTTTTTAGAATTATTGCTTGGTAACTAGAAATTTGGGATAGTGCTGGGTTTGGTAAAAAATTTTTTGACTTCTGGGTAACTATAGAAAAACCAAAATAATTAAACTTAATTTTAAGTTCTCTGAAATCAGGAAGGAAGAAGATTTCCTGGGTAACGGTTGGAAACATAGGTATAGTATTATTTTAATAACATAGTTGTAGTTTTCACAAGCTAAAGCTGTTTTATTGAAAAGTATATAAATATAAATAGGTAGAAAAATATTATAAAATGATACATTGGTAAAATTCTGGAGATAGGATAAATCTAACAGTGAATGTTGAAAAGCTGATTGAATGCACTGCTATTCTAGCAACAAGGTTCAATGTTGGTGTTCGACCTCATCTGGCAATTTTAAGTGAAGTGTTTAAAGCTGGAGGTATAGAAATTAATGATATACCGCTTTCATGAAGCACACTTCATAGAAAAAGTTCAAATATGTAGAACTTTAAGGAGACTTGGAGTGGATTTCAATAACTAATCATCTTAAAGGTCAGCGGCTTATTCTTCATTTTGATACCAAACTGTTGGAACAAATTACCACTGGGCTTAACATTATTCAGAAAAATTGAGCAACTCGCAGTCTCAGATGGAAGACCATCTTTAATGTGTTGTTCAATGTACCTCTTCAAAGGGAGAAGAACAAGTACACAATCTTATAGAATATTAAGGGTGCCTCTTTCTTCCTTGGAGCGGAAGTACAAGATTTTAAGTTCCATTGACCTGACCCCTGCCATGAGGCAAGATTTTTAGCAGATGTGATCTACATCCTGACTCTTTATATGACTGGATACGTTGGGGGACCCGACGTATTCCAATTAGGGAAGAGAGAAGCAATTTCAGAGGGCCCTTTTGCTAACTAACGGAGCTTTTTTTTTTTTGTATGATCTAATAACGGAAGATTTTTTTAAATTTTATGGCGCTAATGATAGTTGAATTCAATAGCAAAATAGATAGTTGAATTCAATAGCAAAAACTACATAAATAAATATTAAAAAATCAAAGCGAGAAAGAACTTTTTTAAATTTTGTAATTTGCATTAGTAGGTTGTAGATAAAAATTTAAATGCTGATATAGCACTTAAATATTTACTCACACATAAATAAAAAAAATAAGATTAAAATATTATCATTTTTTGATTTTTCATTACAGTTATTATACTAATAATGGTCGTCGATATGCCAAAAATCAAGAAGGTCCTAGTTATTTATTATACAGATATAAGTGCGAATTCAAAAATGTTTATCGGTAAGGTTGCTGAAGTGATAAAAATGCTGCAACAATTTTTGAAACACCAAATACATAAACTTCATTTGCCCATGTCCCTCCTCTACCATCTGCATTGCAATTTGTTGATTTTCCGAACTTTTTGTATGACACCCCGTTTCCAGCAAAACATTGTCCACCGTATTGCAAAGAAAAAACTGTAAATCCACGTTCAGTTGCAGCTCTGTAACATTTACCTAAAGGATCAGCACGCTGTTGGGGTACTCCATCAAGAATAGATGATTTGCCTTCGAGTTCAACTAAAGATCTTTTAGGTGTGTCTTTCCAGCAGCCAAGATTACTAAAAATTTGAAAAATTAATAATACAGATTAATGTATACAAACATGTTAATTAATGATTAATGTATGCAAACATTTTAATTATGTTACATATTACAAATGAAAACAGAAGTTTTTTAATACAAGCGTTTTAAACTTTATAAAATAGATAAAAACTTTATTTAGTTCACAACTTAATCTCTCACGTGAACATAAGTTTTTTGCGATTAATGCGATAAAGGAAATCTTTTTTGTAAACTTCATTTGCCCATGTTCCACCTCTTCCATCTAAGTTACATTTGCTTGAGCGTCCATACTTTTTGTAACTTGTTCCATTTCCTGCAAAACACTGTCCACCATATTGCAGCGAAAAAATTGAATATCCATTAGCAATTGCGGCTTCATAACATTTAATTAAAGGATCTAAACGTTGCTGAGGCGATCCATCAAGTAATGAAGACTTTCCTTCTAACTCAAATAGAGCTCGGCTTTGAGTGTCTTTCCAACAACCAAGTTTCCTTTAATAATATAAATATATTATTTATATTACTTTAAAGTTGTGGATTTTTGAAAATGTTTAAATTCAGTCAAAAAACATCTTAAAGATTTTAAAGTTCTTAAATAAATCTTAAAAAGTCCTACTCAGGGTAGAAAGGTTAGTTTTAAATTTCTAATAATTTTAAAGATATAACTTTGAAAAAAATTATAGATATTAAAAATCAATAATTGTTTTCATCAAGTTACATGGAGTTTAAGTTTGGAGTTCGGAGTTATTTTTACTTTTTTCTAGTAAAAAAAGCGTCACTTATAATTGCATTACTTAAATACTTAAAAAATCCATTTATTACCTGACATGAGATTTTGAACAAATTCTTCAACAAACTTTAATTTTTTATTAGAAAGCTGCTAAAAAAACATATTTTCACAAATCCGTGTTAATACTTTGAAAATTGTGGACAGTTTGACTGCATAAAACTTTTTTCGACAAATAAAATTTTAATTTGAAATTTTTTAAAAAAAAAGTTTTAAAAGCTTTTTTTTGCAGTTTTGCAAAGTTTTTCCAGAACATAAATTTATTGTCACATAATTGTATAAAAAAACCTTTTACTATCTATATTTATCTCCAAATTTTCAGTAATTAAGAGTGACGCCTTTCTTAGCATAATCAAAATATTATTACTTAAAATTAACAACGACTTGTTCTTTTAAACTCTGTTCTTTTAATGTGTATACTTCATTCGCCCATGTGCCACCTTTTCCGTTTTGATTACAATCGTTGGATTTTCCATATTTTTTATAAGATACCCCATTTCCTGCAAAACACTGTCCGCCGTATTGCAAAGAAAAGATTTTAAATCCACGTTCTCTTGCAGCTATATAACATTTTAACAAAGAACCAGTACGTTTCTGAGGTAATCCATCTAGAATAGAGGACTTAGCTTCAAGTTCAACTAAAGATCTTTGAGGTGTGTCTTTCCAACACCCAAGTTTTCTATAAACAAATAAGTTATTAATTACTAACATATATATATATATATATATATATATATATATATATATATATATATATATATATATATATATATATATATATATATATATATATATATATAATTATATATATATGTATGTATACATTTATATATATGTATATATATATATATATGTGTGTGTGTGTGTGTGTGTGTGTGTGTGTATGTGTGTGTGTGTGTGTGTATATATATATATATGTATGTATGTATATAAATACATCTAAATTACGTTGTCTCACTTAAACTCAAGTATTTCAGAATGATTTTTATATTTAAAGTCTTCTTGGTAAACTTCATTTGACCAAGCACCTCCTCTTCCATCCACATTACACTCACTTGAAGCTCCGTACTTTTGATAAGCCAGTCCGTTTCCTGCAAAACATTGTCCACCGTATTGTAAAGCAAATATTAAATATCCATTAGCTTTTGCAGCTTTGTAGCATTTTATTAACGGATCTAAACGTTGCTGTGGTGACCCATCTAGTAACTCAGATTTTCCTTCTAACTCAAACAAAGCTCGAATAGGTGTGTCTTTCCAGCAACCAAGTTTCCTATAAAGTTTTGTGTTTCTTTTACATATCTCACACAGTTTCATATAAATAAGTTTATTCTATTTGAAGAAAAAAAATGTAATCACGATTACTTAAAAACAGATATATTTAAAATATTAAAGTGATTCATATTTAATTGTATTTTTTTTTAGTTCTATTTTTAAAAAACATCAATGATCAAGTTAAAGCTGATCATTAATGTTTTCATTTATTACTTTTTTTTTAAATGAACATAAAAATATGTTTTAGATAGAACAAAAATAATTTTAAAAAGCCTTTATTAAACTTATTGAAAGATTGAAGAAAATTAAAAATTAGAGAAGGCTGGTTTTTATTGGTATAGTTGCTTTAAGATTAACAAATATGATTAAAACATCCTGACAATTTAAATAATTTGCATTTTATTGCGGTTACCAAAAACAACAAATATTTTTGCCCTTAAATGGCGCTAGAAGAGCCACTAAATAGTATCAAAAAGCTTATTTTGATAACAATGAATATGTGAAAAGTTTCTTTTACAAAGATTGATATAAATATCACTTTATTGATATAAATATGTCTTTGGTCAACTATAAAAACCTAAAAATTACTCCTGTTGTAGAGGTATAGCTGTATTTGTACATTAAATAAAAATAATTAATGTTATACTAACTCTGTTTGTTTCTATAAAAAATAATTTAGAAATAGAAAAAAACCTAAGTAATAATAATTACCTAAATTCCACTACTTTTTCTACTTTAATGCTTCGATCGTTTTCTGTGTAAACTTCATTTGCCCATAATCCACCTTTTCCATTTGGTTTGCAATCATTTGATTTTCCATACTTTTGGTAAGATATTCCATTTCCTCCAAAGCAATGCCCTCCGTTTTGTAATGAAAAAATTTTATACCCATAGACTTTAGCAGCTTCATAACATTTGGTTAAGGAATCTAAACGTAGGTTAGGTAATCCGTCTAGCAAAGAAAATCTTTCTTCTAACTCAAATAGAGTTCGATTGGCTGTGTCTTTCCAGCAACCGAGTTTCCTATAAGACAAATTTTATTTTTAACAACTAATTCAAAATGTTAAAATATACATAATATATACTTGTCTCAAAAATTTTTAAACTTTTTTAACAAAATATAGAATATAAAATATAACCATAATAAATAAAATATTTTTATTTAAAAACTAACCAAAGTTTTTTATTTAAAGTTTAAAAAATAAACTATCAAGGGTTAAATAATTTTGCTTTTAATATAGTTATTATTTTTAGCAATCTAGTATGTATAAAGTTTACTTATGCCTCAAAAATATTTGCATAGAAACTAAATGTTAAATAATGAATTTTTTTTTTTTTCAAAAAGATAAAAAAATCAATTTTTTCATTGAACCCCTTTGACCCCTGCTGTAAGAAGATACGGATAATTCACCTACGAATAAGTCACAACAATCTTCATAGAAAATAGACCTATACATAGACCTATGCGGACCATTATAAACCTATGCGGGATTTAAGGCAAAACTGTTACAAAAATTATCTAAAATCTGTTAAAATATGAAAAAATAAAAATTATATAATCTCTGCTAAAATATGAAGAAATAAAAACTTTATAAAACTCTGTTAAGATCTGAATAAATAAAATTTATATAAAAATTTGCTAAAATATATAGAAATTAAAATTACATAAAACTCTGTTAAAATATAAAGAAATAAAAATTGTTTAAAATCTCTTAAAATATGAAGAAATAAAAATTATATAAAATGCAATGAAAATTGAAAAATAAAATCAAAGTAAAATAGGAGAAAAAAAATAAAAGTATAGAAAAAAAAAATAAAATACAATAAATTTTTTTTCTAACGATTTTATCAATGGTTACTTTTAAAGCTGTTCCATATCTTAGGCCCTTAATATTTTATGTCATATTTTTTATATTTAGTTTATATGTGACAGTGTATATGAGAGCTCCTCTTTTGATCTCAGGGAGCCGTAATTGTTTAGATCTTTAGTTGATCAATAGCTGATTGATATTTGATGAATTGATTGACATGATGAAGTAATTGATAATTGATTGATAGATTGTAATTGATCAATCGACTGTTGAATTTATTGGTAGTTGATGGGTGTATTGTAATTGTTTTTATCTTATATTTTGCTTAAATATTTTTGGTGTGAAATTTTCAATACAATTATGCACAAAGATCTTAGGTTTAAATATATTTATCTCGTATACATTTATTATTTTCATAAGAAATTCAAAATTTACCAAATAAATTGTAAGCTCCAAAAATAAAAGATCTATGAACTATATATCTAGATTTAAAAAAAAATGATAATAGAAGATAAAATTACTACAGCTCTAAAACATTTAAAAAAAGAGGTAGCATCTGATAACTTAGTTCTACTATCGGACAACACAATCAAAGACCTCAAACCATCTGAAGTAGAAGGTAATAGCTTACTGTGTGGCTACACTCTAAAAACAATTCGTTAGAAAAAGCAAGGGATTGCTTTTTTCTGTTAAATTAACGAAGTAATTCACAAAATTCATAAAATTAACGGAGTAAAATTAACTATTTACGGATTCTTCTAAATTTCGTTGAATTAACGGGTTAAATATTCAAATCCGTTGAAAAACAATTGAACTATTTATTAAAAAGGGTTTCCAAGAGAAATTATAAAGTGCTTCCTTTTTAGATTAACTTTTTAAATACTGTTCGTTTGATTAGATTTTTCAATATATTATAGTTGTTTATTTATAAATGATAAATAAACAACCTAAATGACATTTAAATCGTTAATAAAAGGTTTGTCGCAGTAAGTTTAGTTTGCCATTTTTTAAATAACTTCACATTACAACTAAATGTAAAGCTACTTTAAAAAAGCGTAATTTAAATTGTGTCTATCAATGGACCTTTCCCCATAAAGCAATGCATTAGGGTATTTGTATGTACGCGGAAGTAAACAACAAAAATATGTCGATTAAAATGTCAAATATTACAAGAACTGAGATTGTATTTTGAAAGAACTGAGATTGTATATTGAAAGAAACGAGAGTGTATTTTATTTCACACTTTTTAAATTTTTTAGTTATATATATATATATATATATATATATATATATATATATATATATATATATATATATATATATATATATATATATATATATATATATATATATATATATATATATATATATATATATATATATATATATATATATATATATATATATATATATATATATATATATATATATATATATATATATATATATATATATATATATATATATATATATATATAATATATATATATATATATATATATATATATATACAACGACAGATTATCATTAAATGAAAAAACATTTAATTTATCTATACCAGAATACGAAGATGAATTAAGAAGAAATGGCTTCACTGGTCTTAATTTAAAGTATATTACCCAAACAAGAAAAGAAAAAGAAATATAATATGGTTCAACCCCCTGTATAGTAAAAGCGTTTCTACCAATGTCGGACATATCTTCCTAAACTTAATCGAGAAACATTTTCCAACATCCCACCCCCTAAGTAAACTATTCAATCGAAACACCATCAAAGTGAGTTACAGCTGCACCAAAAATATCGAAAGAATCATAAAAAGCCACAACAAAAAAATCAGTTCAAAAATATCAAAAGAATACCCACCCTGCAATTGCATAAATGAAAAAAACTGTCCTATATTAGGCAAATGTAGAGCCTCAAACGTTATTTATAAATGTATAGTATCCCTTCTCCCCCCCCCCCCCCTTACACTCCAGAAAAAGTATATATTGGCTTAGCAGAAGGTGAATGGAAGAAAAGATGGGCTAACCACAAACACTCATTCACAAAAAAAAATTATGAAAAATTCAACCACCATTTCAAAGTATATATGGCAGATAAAAGAAAACTTAAAAATAACAAACTTATTAACCTGGTCAATAATTAAACAAGTCCCCGCCTACAGCAACGTAACAAAAATATGCTTGCTTTGTCTTCATGAAAAACTTTGCATAATATCATGCAAAGGTACGCAAGAGTTATTAAATAAAAAAACGGAAATAATATCTAAGTGCCGTTATGAAAACAGTTCTTCCTTGACAACCACGAGCCTAAAGATTAAAAGACCAAACCACGTATGCTTGATGATTGCTAAACTCATGAAACTTTAGTTAAACTTAAATTATGTAGTTATTTTTTAATCTTGTCAAAAAATCAGTTATATATATATATATAAAACTGTCAAAAAATATTAATTATATATATATTATTAAAAAATATTAATTATATATATATATATATATATATATATATATATATATATATATATATATATATATATATATATATATATATATATATATATATATATATATATACATATATGTATTTATATACATATATATGTATTTATATACATATATATGTATTTATATACATAAATATATTTTATACCATATATTTTTATTAGTCACAGAATTAAAATGGGTAACTCTTACGTCAAAATATACAGTACTGTCATTTTTCTCTTTTACGCGGCGGTTTTCGCTGGACTTTCAAAGTTGTTTATATACTTAATTTAGTTAATAACTCTGCGAGGGAAAACTTTTAATCCTTTGCCTTTCGTCAAATTTCGCGTTACGTATTTAATGGACGATTTTGAAACCTTAGGTTTCAAATTTTCAAACTTATTAGTATAATATATATATATATATATATATATATATATATATATATATATATATATATATATATATATATATATATATATATATATATATATATATATATATATATATATATATATATATATATATATATATATATATATATATATATATATATATATATATATATATATGTATATATATATATATATATATATATATATATATATATATATATATATATATATATATGTATATATATATATATATATACATATATATATATATATATATATATATATATATATATATATATATATATATATATATATATATATATATATATATATATATATATATATATATATATATATATATATATATATATATATATATATATATATATATATATATATTGCTTTATAAAGTTTAAAATTCTTAGATTTTCAAATCTAAAACTTTTATTTAAAATAAAATAAAACTGTTGAAAATAATATACTTCAGGTTGTTTTTTTTAAATATTAATATTATTATCTAAGTCTAAACTTTTAAGCAGCATTGTATTTTTATTTTTCAAAGAACTGGTAATTTATTTTATAAATTTTGTTGATTTGAACGTGTTCTATATCCAGAAAAAAAATTTTCAGTTTAAAAAACCGGTTTATTTATTTGAAACAAAATGTGTTGATAACTCCAAGTTAATGGTAAAGTCAAATGAAAAAAAAAAATGTTCGTCAATATTATCCAATTAATATAGTCTGACATAGTTAAATAATTCTCGTTGAAAAAAATATTGTTCCCTTGTTATATCAAATTACCCAACATACCCCCACAATAAAATATTTGAAAGTTGTGCTAAACCAAGTTAGCAAACAACTATATAAAATTTTTGAATAGTTTGTGTTTTATGTTTTAAGATATTTGATAAAATAAGTTGATAAATCACGAGTTGTAAGTTATAAAAAGTTTAACTTAGTAACTTTTTGGTGAAACCCCAAATTTGATGAGCAATGGCTTTAGACAATAAACTTTTAAATTGCTTTACAAGTGTTCACATCTATTAAAAGAAAAATTATTGTAATTAAGGTGTAACTAATACCCATCAGTGATTTGTTAGAGATTAAAAATCGTTTAACAGGGTAAAGCAGAGCTAGTCGAGCATAGAAGCAGGATAAGAAAATAAAATTTAGTTTAGTTTATTTCGCCGTTCAAAATATATACAATGTACTGTTTCTATTTTCTATTTTTATTATTGCTGTTACTATTTTATTTTTTATGTGCTTTATTTGTACTATCGAGTCCCAATTACAAGGGGAGAGGGCGTTTATTGATTTTCAGAAAGTTTGCCCACCCACCCTATGCTTATTAACCCCACCCCCTCTTACTTCCTTTACTAATTTTATTAACAAGAATAAAACAGGGTCATCAACTAAAGTTTTATATCTCAAAACTAAATATATAATTCAGTGAAAATCGGCCAGTTAACAAAAACTTTCAGTGTAAACAGGCTTTAAAAATCGTCGTAAAAAATATTAGTTTGGATTTATAAATTATAAACAGTTAATACAACCTCCCTTTTATAATATTTGAGAAAAATCTCTACCCCCACCCCGTTCTTGCTTAACCTTTTATTAAAAACCTTCCATTTATTAGATCTGGACTAAAATCCCCCTCCCTTGTATTAAGAGGTTGATAATATTTTCTCTTTGATAGTATTTTTATGTATTATCTCTATATTATAGTGTGTTTACCTTTTTTTATTTTATTTTTTGCTTTATAAGTAAAAAATAAAAATTTTAGAAATGTACCAGTCAAGAAGTTGACAAAAGTTTAACTGTTTGCAGTAAAAAAATCTCGAAGGGAAATATTTTTTTAACAATAGAATAAAACTATTAGAGAATAAAACTATACTTAATTGACATCACTAGTAATTTTTAGAAATTACAATATATTTCATAAAATAATTCAAAAGTTATTATTTATAAAAACTTATATTATGGTTGTCATACAATAACAAAGTAAACTAAATCAAAGTAAGACGTCAAAAACATCATAAGATTCATACAATTTTTTTGGAGTCCTTAATTTTACGTGTTGTTTATGGTAACTTTCTACTTGATGAAAAAAGATACATAAAAAAGGCAATGGCAATCATCTTAATTAGTTTAACTTACCTAAACTCTTTCACCGGAAGAATTCCTGTAGCAATGGCTGGAAGAATTTCTGTTGTAACTGATGAAAGGTTTTTTTTTTCAATGGCTGGGAACTTAATTTTTGTTTCGCCAATCTCAAGTACTTGAATATATTCAATACTTGTCAAAAAACCAATGATAATGGCAAAAATGTTGACCAACATATTTAGTAACAAAGTTCAAATAATAATTTCAGTTTTAACTTTGTACGGTGTGATAAATTTATAAGCGTTTAAGATGTTGTTTGTTCAAAAAACCTCTTTAATCTTTTTTTTTTCCTTACACCTCTTTTTTTTTTTTTGGCACAAATAATAAGTTAAAATCCTGATTTATACTCTTTTTATATGAGATATGAAATATATTGAATGCAATGTAAGACAATATATTGCGTTCTTTGATAAAGTGGCGGGTTTTAACGTTAAAGGATTTTCGTAAAAATGCGGATAAAGGATTATTACAATATAACGGATTTATGAACAAAAAGAGAGAAGTTAATACAATTTTTAACTATTAACTATTAAATATTTTGATACAATATACGTTTCAACTCATTAGTAAATTATTTTACGTAATATGTAAATTACGTAAGTTTGAAAAGTTACGCAAAACATTTAATTGCCAACAAACTTTTGCCAACGTCGCACAGTGATCGGGAATAACTTAAAATTAGACTAAAACTTTTTTTTTTTTTTGAAAATATTCAAAATTACTGAAAATTTGCCTTATGATGATAAAAAAGGTAGACAAGGAAAGAAGACTATAAATTTTTAAAAAATGGTCAAATATGGTCAGGGGGAAAGTTTTTTTTATTCGTAAAAAAATCTAATCAAAAAGTAAAGTTTGAAGTGATTCTATCAATCTAAATTCTGCCCTCAATAACTAGATAAAGTTGATATTTAGTAAACTTTACATTTTTTTCATACCTACGTGAAAGAAAAATTATATTAACTTTGGTATGCATATATATATATTTATATATATATATATATATATATATATATATATATATATATATATATATATATATATATATATATATATATATATATATATATATATATATATATATATATATATATATATATATATATATATGTATGTATGTATATCTGTGTGTATATATGCATGCAAAAGTAAATATAATTTTTATATATGGTATTCTTTTTTTTGTTTGTTTTTTGTTTTTTTGTTATTCATTTTGTCACTATATATTTTACATACAATTAATTTTAATACATTTATAAATACAATTACATTTATATGTATACATTTATAAATAAGATAAAAATTAAAATAATGACAGGAGCAAGTAGAAGACTGCAGTCTTATTATCAAGCCCCTTTCGTTTGCAACTTTTCAATAAGTTTTACGTGAGATTTACTTAAAGAAAAAGTACTTTTTCGAAATGTCATTGTGAACAAATTCATTTACTTTTATAAATATCAAAAAAATACGTAAAAATCTCAGGGGTTGTTTCCCCAATTCATAGCAAATTAGGCCAAGAGTACAAAAAGCTCTGTTAAAACCGTAAAAATTAACTTTAGTTAAAAATAAGAGATTTTTCAAATTGTCTGAGTGAACAAATTCATTTACATCTATAAATATCAAAAAAATTTCAAATCTCATCAAGGCGATTGGGCTGGGAACAATTAAAGCTCTGTAAAAATAATAAAAATTAACTTTAGTTAAAGAACAAGTGCTTTTTCATATTGTCAGAGTAAACAAGTTTATTCACATTAATAAAAATCCAAAATATATGTAAGAATCCCAGTACTCCTTTTCCCCATTTGGGGCAATTGGGTCAAAAGCAATAAAATTTCTGTAAAAACTAAAAAAATAAACTTTACTTAAAGAACGAGAGCTTTATTATATTGTAAGAGTAAACAAATTCAAATAGATTTATAAAAATCCAAATTTTCCGAATCGAAATGTCTTTGTAAACCATAGAAATTTAATTCCTAGCTTTGTCCAACCACTGTCTGAAAAACTCTATGTACTTTTTTCTGGGGCATTTTTAATTTGAAAACTCGAGAGAGACTTAGTAGTTTTTTCCTTTAAAAATGAAAGGTGATGGAAAAGAGTTACCCATTGCATTGACACAAGCTATGATAACATTGTAGATACTTAACTCCTTTTTTAACAACTATTTTTCGAGGACGATAATCGAACTGAAACCTAGTCTCATCCATATTCCAAATGTTTTGCAATTTCTGAAGTAGGTTGTTTCCCGTTAACAAACTTTTATTGTAATGTAAAATGAAAAAAAACACCATGAAAATTTAATTATAAAATGGTTATGACTGTCTAAAAATAAATGACTATGTTTCTATGATTATATTATATACATGTACTCTAACATTACAATCATAAAAATGTACTTTTATGCAAATGGCACATACACACATGGTTTAGATGGTTTAAGCTCATAAATGTCCTTTTATGAAAATGGTACATTCACACATGGTTTAGATGGTTTACACATAAAGACTTCTATGGTTTTCTAAAATATCATTTCTGCTAAAAAGTTACATGATAGAAAATTTGAAGCAAATTTCAAAACTGGTTGCTCTTCCTACAAATTCATTGATGTAAACAATTTTAGAGTATTTTTACAGTGACACTGTCGCTAGCATGACAGCAAGGTATAAGCAAAATAACAAAGCAAAACAAATAAATAAAGCCAAGGTCAAGCCATTGGGACCGAGGTTGAAAAAGTAAACTAATGTTATTAAAACATGTAATTAAAAAATACTGTTTCACAACATATTTGACTTAAATATGTTGTTAAGCAGCATAAGGTAGCAACAAGTTTTGCAATAAGTGCAAACATACTTGGTTCTCTACTTTTGTAGTAATATATATATATATATATATATATATATATATATATATATATATATATATATATATATATATATATATATATATATATATATATATATATATATATATATACACACACACACACAGAGACAATAACCAAATTAAATTACTTGATACTAGTACTGTAGAATTTATGTTAAACATGGGAAAAAAATTTATTAGAACATATTATATACCATTAGAAAGATAATTTTATTAGCTTTTAAATGGTATATCTTGTCACTATTTTAGAGTTGAGGAAAAAAAGTTGACAGATGAAAAGTTGAATAACGGATTTTTGCTAACCTGAGCAAATTTTTTTTAGAAAACACGGATTGCGACTTCGGTATTTACCTAGGAAAGGAGTAAAAAAATATTTCTTTTATATATATTTATGATTTATATTACATTTTATACCTAATTTTAGAAATTTGGAAAAAAATGTTTCTTAAGACGTTTCTTTTTTGACTTTGTATTAACAAAGATCAACTCAGTGGATCTAAATCATCGTCACTCAAATTTCTCAATACCTTAATTTGGTGATGTACTCTGAGTCCATGATAATATGCTTGGTGATGGTAGTAAATGAACAGGATCAATACTTGCACGATCAGATGCCACCATTTCATTATATTTGTGTTTACTGATCTGCTGTAGATTGAAACAAGGTGAATGAAGCAGCTCAAAAAAACGAATAGCTCCCTTGCCAATATCATCATTAGAAATATTTTCCTTATAGAATAAATCTGCAGTAGATTTTAATTCATTTGAATTTTTTACCTTCGTAAAAATTGTGGTTTTGCCGAAGTTATGGATTGCTGATGTTGCGTCACACCCAGTGAATGCAATGTGTACAAATAATATATAATTTAAAAGAATATTATCTCTTTTCTTTACAACATTCTGAATTTTATAACATGCTCTAACTTCGTTGCCTTTGACCCAATTGTCCCAAATGGGGCAAAGGAGCACTGGGATTCTTACATATATTTTTGATCTGTAACCTTAGTTTGTTTTAACGTTTTTAAAAATATGCTTGAGTTGTGCTTCAGTATGTACATGGTGTACCAATAGACATAAAATATCAGTATCATCCGAATAAATTGTGACTGACTCAACGTTGTCAATCTCAAGCGCTAGCCTAACAATACTTGTGTCTGCATCACTGGGACAACAAATAACTTTAAAACCATTGTTTTGTAACTTCAATACTAAAAGCCTGATAAAATCATTTTTGTTTTTGTAGTTACTTAGGAAAATACTTTTTTCTGCTGAGCATCGGTTGAGATCATTGATTTTAACTGTTTGTGGTATCTTACCAGATCGCTTTTGATGGATACTATCTTTATTGGACAACTGATAACCATCAAAAATGATTGTGTCAAGTTGTAAGTGCTGAGAAAAATCAATAAAAAAATGTCACTAAATAACTCTTTTTTTTCCAACTGCAGCACCACAATAATACGTCTCGATCAGCAATCTTGATTGATACAGGTTCTTTCACTGGTGATACATTATTGAGTATGAATGTTTTTAATATTGACTTTTTTGCTGAACTCATGACACCTCCTTTAAATAAGGATGTTGGATACGGTGATAACTCATATTGAAAGTAACTCTCCGCTTCATTCTCTGGCTTTTTTTCAACAACAACCATTCTTAGAAAAAGTGTTAATGGGTCGATTTTAACAATTTCGTCATGAATAATTGCGCAGGAGTGTAAGCTCTGGAGAGTTGTTATTTGATTTTTTTGTTTAAAATAATAATTTGTGTCATTCTTCCAGGATACATTTCTTTATATTTGTCAACATATTTACGCGGAGATGTTAGAGTGTTCATTGCATCACTTACTTCTGCGCATCGATACAATGTTTTTGTCCACACCCTCAACACATTTTGAGTCAAGCCTTTACCAATAACTCCACCTCTACCTTTCAATGACTTCATTAGAGTCTGTTTAATTGCTAGATCAGTCCATATCCATGACCATTTCGGTTGTTCTAACAATGTGATTCCTTGTCATGTATTGTGCGTAAATTAGAGGGTGTTCTGTTGGTAAGGCATCAACGGTCTGAAGGTAAAACCTGCACGATTTTTCATAGTTATAGTGCCCTGTTGCAGCAAAAAGATTAGGCATGCACTTTGTTGCAGTATGTAATGACCAGTTACTTGTTCTCTCTGCTCTAATAAACTCTTGAACCACAGTTACGTATTGTACATAATGTAACCATAAAAAAGTAATGTTCGTGAATTTAATGAAAAATAAACCTTTTTTCTCTGTAAACCAGTTTAGCTATCTAACCGCCAGGTCATTACTTTCTAGAACACAAAGGTCTTCAAAATCTTACGTTTCTAAAAAAATTTTTGCTCACTATTATTTAAATCATCCCAAAAATCCTTTAATATCAGTAAATTTATTGCTGATGCACATAAAAAATGTCCTCGTATAGCG